TCATTTTTACCAATAGTTAATTTATGATGATAAGTATTTAGGATGCATTCGAAAATACTCTATCTCTAGATACATAATTAAGAAATGACCCTGTATCTCGTGAACTATTAACATTTTTAAAGGTATAAGCTCATCTCGACATTACACTCATCGAGACTTTTCATTTGAGTACCCACATCAATTTTTCATATATTTATATATATTATATATATGTATATATGAATAATATATCAAAAATGCATGTGGGTACTCAAATGAAAGCTCTTGATGAGTGTAACATCGAAATGAGTTTATATCTTTAAAAATATCAATAGTTAAGAAAGTACAGTGCAGTTTAACATAATTAAGAAATTACCTTGTATCTCGTGAACTATTGACATTTTTAAAGGTATAAGCTCATCTCGACATTACACTCATCGAGACTTTTCATTTGAGTACCCACATCAATTTTTCATATATTTATATATATTATATATATGTAAATATGAAAAATATATCAAAATGCATGTGGGTACTCAAATGAAAGCTCTTGATGAGTGTAACATCGGGATGAGCTTATATCTACAAGAAATTCAATAGTTAAAAAACTACAGTAGAATTTAATAAAAGTCATTATTTAATAAACCAAAATGTTATTTATTCATAGTTCACAAGTCTCGGCAGTCACGTAGTGACTGCAAGGTTGCTAGTTTAATATTAAAGAATAATTTAATAAAAAGCCAAAAAATGTTTACAGCTATATTAAAAAAAAAAAAATATTTAGTTATACTTAATAAATCAACAAACTGCTCACAAATTAATGAATTTATTAACAGTTGATAATTTTTAATGAAAAATTTATAGAAAAATTAAAATTCATCAAAGAAAAAAAGAATTTTTAAACAAAATTTATTAGAATAAAATTACCGTGCTGATAATTCTTATTCGTTAAAGCTGATAATAAATTTATAAAAAAAATTTTTCATTTCTAAAAATCACAATTAGCTATAATAAGTAAAAATACAAAAGACGATTTAAATTAAAATTTTTTATTTCAAATTCATTTTAAACTTACAATTGATTAAAAATAAATGTCTTATTCTTCGAAAATTAAAACTTTAAATTCTTTCTTATAAAAGTTATTCATTTTTATTAAAATAAAACATTACTAAAATTTATTAAATTTTTCCATCAGTGTACAATAAATACAACAAAGTATAAGAATATTATAATTACAATAAACACTGACATAAATTTAATAATAAATATTTATAAAGCTAGACAAAAAATAAATATAGAAATTAATTGCAACGCGCATAAATCTTATCACTTATTTGCAATTTATCAATACTTAAAAGATTGTTGCAAATAACTGAGCGATAAGCAACAAAGTAGCTCGTGCATCCTCTGTACAAACTGATCTTTAATCTAACATTATATAAAAAATGAAGAAATGAAAGATAAACATGAACTTGTCATTTGAACTGCGTGAGAAAAAGTAGCGATAACTGATGATCAAGTTCTTAATAAGCACAATTACGTAAGCGGTAATTATTATCAGCATTATTTTATAAAATAAACAGTAACATTGCAAATATTAAGTTGAAGATAGTATCAGCGATGCGCAATGATTAAATAAATGAACATAAACATTAAAGATGATTAATTAGCTCGGATAAATGAGAAGTTGGCTTTTCGGTGTTGCGAGGACCAAAGGTCAATATTACTTCAGCTACTTCAGTATGATGTTACAGTGTGGGGTAACTAGATTGTAAGCGGTTACTCAAATAATCCTCAGCGATGCGGAAAAAATTATCTGTAGAACGTAGATCCGAGTGTTTAATTTTCTCTGATCGCATCACTGGCTTAACCCTTTCGCGAAAGGGTACATTGCAGATATCGCACGTGCTCGAGTTTGAGTACGAGACTCAATTGTCTAATTGGCAAATAAATCCACGGTTGTTTTCGAGCGTCTCTCCAGAGACGAGAGACGAGAACCGATAGACGATAGACGAGAGTGAGAACCCCGATCATACTCCAATCACCCGTCGATCAATAGATGCCTGCGGTTCTTTATTTATGCATCGCTGGGTATTTACTTTCATTTTTGTGTTTCATGCCTTTCGACACCACGGGTGACGACCCTGTCAACCCTTTCATTTAATGTCATTTGTTTTTTAACTGGCTTTTAAATGCTATTATTCCAGTCGTTCTACATTACGCGACTATTCAGGTTTACAATTGACATTTTTATTTCAATTGCATCGATAAAAAGTTTTTTTTTTTTTATTTAATATTATTTCTCTTCAAAAAAAATTTATTTATTTATTTATTAAAAAAAATAAAAATTAACGTACTGTAATTTTTTAATAGACATTTTTATTTCAATTGTATTGAAAAAAAATTTTTTTTTTAATCTATATTATTAAGAGAATAAGAAAAATTTTGTGTCCTGGATAGTCATATGATAAAATCGGTTTTTTTTTTTAGTGAAATTTAGTGTAATTGCAAATACACTTATGATGATAAGCATTTATGCTGCAATCGAAAATTCTCTATCTCTATAGATATATCATTAAGAAATGACCTTGTGAACTATGTATCTTGTGAACTACTGACATTTTTAAAGAAATAAGCTCACCCCGACACTTTACTCCTCGAGACCTTTCATTTGAGTACCCACATCAATTTTTCATATATTTTTATATATTATATATATGTATATATATGAAAAATATATCAAAATGCA